TTCCGAGATTCCAGATTTTTCTACTTATTTATTTATTTATTTATTTATTTTCAGACACAGAGGATATGGGGTCAATTTACACAAGTAACTCTCCCACGTGGTGAGCATTTCAGCATAATCAGTGCAGCCGCCTGAAGACCAAGCTCTCCATAGTTCCCCAGCCACTTAGTTATACCCAGTGCCCTTATAGCTTTCTTATTATACGCATATATATATACATATAATTTTCTTATCTCTCACATCTGTCAAAGCAAAGCACCTGGCCTGGTCCCAAGGGAGAATCGCCCGCTGCTTTCTGGGGGCAGCTCGAAGCTGCATGTGAGCACCGTCCGCGCGCCCCCCGGCAGCTTGCCCCAAACATCTTGCAGCGCAGGAGCACCTAGGAGAGCAACCTATTTTTTTTTTCCCACAGTGATTTTTAGGAACAGCTGTGTATTCATAACTCGGGGGCAGCTCGAAGCTGCCTGTGAGCACCGTCCGCACCCCCCGGCAGCTTGCGCCAAACATCTTGCAGCGCAGGAGCACCCAGGAGGGCAACCTATTTTTTTTTTCTTTTTTTTTCCCCACAGTGATTTTTAGGAACAGCTGTGTATTCATAACTGTTGGTCTTGTACAATATCCTACAAGCATAGGATTGGAAATGCACTTTTTCCCCTCCCATGCTGGACCATAATACACTTAGTTTTAGCTGAGACCAAACTCTATGTCTTCCCCCCCCCTTTTTTTTTTCTTTCTTTTTTTCCTTTCCAAAGAGGATTCCAGCCAGCTAGAAAGATGGCTTCAGGCTGCTATTCCAAGCATTAAACAGAAAAACTCAAACTTGTTGTTCTGGAGAATCTTTGTCTGAAACTTCTAAGAAGTTAAAAGTCTGTTTACCTTTCCTGAAATTTTAATTTCCTGCAATAAAGGCACTTGCCATTCTCCTCAGAGCAGTATGTTTTAATTAAAAGACGTTTTTGTGTTGCAGGATGACTCACTCGTCGTGTGGAAGGAGGTGGACCTGACCCGGCT